AAAAAACAAAATGATTCGCAAATAATCCCCATAGATCGGAGGCGCGCTGTAGCAACGGCGTCGACGTATAACTCCACGCAAAATGGCCGACGTTAAAGAATATAACTGAATTCAGTCCGTTCTCCAAGAAAATACTCCGAACGTGGTATTTATTTTTTATGACTTATTTGAATTTTAATAATAGCATTTCAATAACCAAGCATTCATCCCACCCATCGATACATGCAACATTGTATCGATATCCAATAAACGAATAGAATGTTCTTTTGGTTCGGTTCTTTCGTTCGCTATCTCTTCGCTGAAAGTTATTTCCTTGTCAGACCGAAACGACGACGGTCAGTCGAAAATTCGAGGCCCTTAATAAGCGCCGTAGGCACACAACAACACACAGTTGCTATTACGACGGCATTGTCGGCGGCGATGCGTTTTATTAGGCCTCCCGAAAAACACAAAACATTTGGGCCACGTCAAAGTTCCTTGGAAGGAAGCAAAGGCGGTCATTGTAATATGTCCCGGACTCCTTTATATCTCCTGAAATTGGGTTGTTAAGGAATTACTCTGAATCCTTGATCTCTTTCACGTATATGATGTACAATTTTCAAAAGTATCTTTTCTCTCATTTCTTCGTTTTTTTTTTTTTTTTTAATTCTTTTTCTTCTTTTCTTTTCTTTGGATTACCTTACTATTGTCAACTCACGGTAAAGGAAAGGTATTATCGTTTACGATATGATTTAATCTTCCCTACAAATGTTAACCCGTTTCTTAGAATCCCTAGATCGGATCTACGGTAAATGGTTTTGCGTTTTTACGCAAATATTGAATTCCGAGGAATGTGTTAGTTCGTGTACGATTTAGAAAATATTCATTCAAATGTTTTCACAACTTTTATTTCATCGATTTGTATTTGTAAAATAATCTACACGTACTTACCGAGAGTACTAACCTAATAATTATTTAAGAATTTCTAAATAATATATAATCTACTAAACCAAGAAAAAAAAAATTGAAAAGTATAAAAGAATGAATGAGAAATAATAATAATAAAAAAAAAAAAAATAAGAAAGAGAGGTAAAATGTAGAAGAAAAATAGTCAAGTGGAAGTGCGATAATCAGTAAATTGGGAAGAATTGAGGCCAAGTATAGCGAAGTATACCCGGAACGTCAAAATGATACGAGTAAAATAATCTCAAGGCCACAACGTTTACCACGATACGACGTAAAGATGGATGGATGGATGGATGATTGGTTAGTTGGATGGATGGACGGGTGGATGGATGGATATCCTCAATCGTACAGCAAATAAGTAGGTACACTTTATATTAATATCTTGAACTATGTAATATAAATATATGTGTGTCTATCTGTGTGTGGGTGAATGCTTGCTTGCTCGTGTCTGTGTGTGTGTGGGGGGGGGGGGTTTCGTAGAATTGAGATTTCTACGTATATGATCAGATTGATCAAAGTAATTCGACTGTTTGTGTATCGCGCCTGGACCCGTCGTCTTCGTCGGTAAATCTCTTTGATGTTAAATCTTTCGAATGATGCTCCTCGGAGTTGATCTTTTCGGTTCATTGTCACAGTGATACGAGAAAGATGACACATCATTTTTCGTAAATATATATATATATATATATATATATATATATTTTATGTGTAAAAAGAATTATGCATATTTGTGAAAATTCAATGCAACAAAATGTGAATTTTATATTCTTCTTGAAACTTTGATGTCACATGCGTAATATGCAGATAGATTTAAAGGAGAAAACAATGCAACGACTTGATCATGTTGTCACTGCTATCAAATAATTGCTCCTAGTCGATGTCACAATCGTCTAACAATCGTTTTTCGTTGACAGAATTGTTGTTGTTTCTTTTTTTTAACGTGGTAACAAAAGTCACAGTAAAAGAATTTCTCGTCACATATACTTTTGCGCATGATGCGCATACACAACAAAGAAGCCTTGGACCGGGTGCATGGGAATTAAAAACTTGCACAATTCTCGCAACGAACTTTGTATAGAACAATTATCATTAATTCACTAATTATTAACGAGTTCTTTTTAATAGGCTGGAAAACGTTGCAACGTTTAATGACCGGTGTCATGCGTGTCACACTGCCCCAGGCTCTCTCAACACACATTTTTCTGTCTCTTATATTTAACTAGTACATAACCAGTAAACTGACTCTAGACCCACATTTGAAATAATTCGATCGACCTATTTGTTATAAAGTAAGGACCACACAAATTATCTTTCATCTAAGAATAGTACAACTCTGATGAAATAAATTCGACTATTACGATTCGTAGTATTTTCATTTGATGACTATGATCAAAGTGATCTAACACAATATAAGTCATATATTTTTACTATTATTATTATTATTACAAAATAAATAAAATATTTTCCTATCTATTACTCCAAACAATGTTTGTAATTAATTCCATAAAATAATATTTGTGAAATGATCAAATATGAAAATAAAAAATCAATAAGAAATATTCAGTTACTCGCGTTTATCGAGAAAGTGTTAAAGGAACGCCGTATAGCAGGCAATGTTAAATCACTGACGTGTTTAGCGTTAGCCTTACATAGGGTTATTTGATATTCTTTCAATAGTAACGTTACAAGGTGGACACTTGACAAGTAAGTGACAACTGTGGGAGTGGCGATATGCTGACAGCGATATTAAAGCGGTTACAAAACTAGACACGAACTGTCCAACTTAACGTGAGAATTTCTTTGATAATATCCGTCGTGTTATAGGATTAAAGAATTATACCTATTTTCCTCTGACGATTAAACACGATAAATAGCTACCACTTAAACGACTCTTACAACATTCCTCCTATCATTTTGATAATTCGAATATTCTCAATTTGAGAATTCACAAGTACCGTCTCATTAAATAGACTCGTTTTTAATAATTAATTCATATGGTTTATTGTAAAAGAAACATAGAGCATGCATCTTACCTCAATAATTAATAATTCCAAATGAATGAAGTAAAAGAATGAAGAACAATAAGCCAAGTTTGAGCATTCTTCTTTGAAATGGAAACCCAAATAGCGAATGGAAGGATGATCGATGGAAACTGCAATAATAATAAGAAGAGGAATAGAAAGAAAGAAAGAAAGAAAGAAAGAAAGAAAGAAAAAGGGTTAAATAATGGAATAACTGTAAATAAAGATGATGAAATGTAAAGTATGTAAGTCGATTGAGTATCATGGACGATATCCATGAGAGTATGCGGATTCGGTAGGAAAGGTTTTTAAAAAGAATTGGCGAGAAAGTAAAGAGTGCACGCGACCAAGATGGCGGCCAGCTGTGTATATAAGATATACCGGTTACGGGGACGACCACAGGAAACAGGCATGGAAGCCGTAGGAGGACGGGGATAATTACGTTGGAGCAATGCACGAAGCTCCTCCCCTTATTCAAACCTAAAGCCTGTAACTGCAAGTGCCAAGCTACACACTTTGCGGTGCGCACAAATGACACGTTTGAGGACTGGCAATGCGCACACAGAGCCAATACCAAGCCCTCCTTCCTTCCTTCCTTCTATGCGACAAATACGAGGCCTGCTCGTGCAAATATAGACGAAAAGAAAGATAGTAACCATCGAGAATGAAAATTAGAAAAAGAGAAAAAGAAAGGTGCTCCTGGAAATCTGACTCACTCACCCTCTGCCAAACCCCTCCCCCCTCCTCTTATCTATACACCTTTATCAGTTTAAATTACTTATGATAGAAACTTATGCGAGAAAATGCAATTATACTTGAAAAAGTATACAAGTGCGACGAAATACAGTGATTGAATCGAGAAACTTTTTCCTATGAGATAACATCATCTATATTTACCGATGTGTATTATATTTATATAGGGTGGTAGGTACACGGGGGAAACACGTAATCATTTTAAATTATTTCGAAGGAATATTTTATTTTGTACTAATTTAACATGATTCAAGAACAACTTTATGATGACTGTATCAAATTTGGTCTCAATCCTAAGCCCCCCCTTAAGGTTCTCAAGATTATCCTTACTTTTTTATATATAAGTCCATATTACATACAATAAATTTTCATTTCATATGGTTAAAGGAGATCATATTACTTGAACCACCCTGTATATATATAATAATTGCTTATGTTCGAAAAAAAAAAACAAGAAAATTCTCTTCGATTCTTTCGTAAAAACTTACCACAATGTATTTCATTCTTATTAATTTATGCATAAGTGAGATTAACTTTATTGCAAGTATATATTAGAAATGTTCATAATGTTTTATGTAATAAATTACCTCGAATGAATAAAATATTCCTTTTTGTCATATTTGATATGATTATATATATAAATTTTTGTAGAAGAAGAAGAAAATGTTTCAAATACACACTGCGCTATGTGACATCTTGCAAATAATTTATTAATCTAAAATATGCAACTGAAATGAAAAATATTATAAATATTAGTATATAAACAAATGAAAAATGAATTATACCTTATTAATAACTGATAATCAGACAATATTATTATAACCTAGAATTAACGACGAATGATTTTTATCACTGATAAAACAAACAATTCTTGACGTATAAAATGATACAATTATCGATTTTTCATATTTTTCCAAATTTACTAAAAAAAAAAGATTCAATTGCATAGGATCGTTGTGTTCACTGGTCAAATTAAAAAAGAATTTTTCTTAATTCTCTAATACACGACACATATACATTGTTTTATACGAACTAATTAAAAAATAGAAATTATAAGGTGAAAAATCTTTTTGTCCTCTGTAGTATTCAACATGTAGTACGATTATTTCGATTATTTCGATTATCGAAATAATATCGAAAGTACATCGATTTAGTAAATAACTAAAAGTCTAGTTCACTTTTAATAATAACTAGTATAGTTCACTTCTAGTTATTTTTATTTCTCTAGACCGATACTAACCAAGATTTGATATATATATTTTTATAAAACATCTACAACAAACATAAAATTTAATTTATTTGTTTAATGTGTAATATATCATTTTTATAAATAAAATTGTGCATTTGCATTCCTGTACCAATCAGAAGAAACATTGGATCTGCATTTTGAACATTTGTTGAAGTTATACACATACTATTGAGGTTATCTCGTGAATGTTTATTAGATATTGCAAATATGTCTATGAATTACAATGCAGGATATTTTGATTTGTGTATAAATGCATCGAATGATGGTAATACCTCCGATTTACGTAAAATGTTACAAAAATCATATATGCGTAAGTTTTGAAATTTATTTGATGAAAAGTTAACCTAGTCATAATTCACATGTCAAAGTGTTTATATCTTTTATTGAATTAAAATATGTATTACAATAAGATAATTAATGAAAATATTTATCAGTTGGATATAGATCAGTGGCAATTAATCAAATCATAGATGAAAGTACTTTTGAAACTAAGAAAAAAAGGAAAAAATGTGACGACGAGTCACGAACGTTTCTTAATCCAATTGATATCGATGATTTAATCAAAGAATTTGAAGGCAAATTAAACATTTTTAATAGACTTACATTTGCATTTAATGATGAAGAGAAAACTCGTCTGTTGGTAAGTACAATACTATATTTAAATTTAATGAAACAATCAAAAAGACATTTTTCATGAGAAATCAAATAATTCATTTTTAGAATCAATCGAATATTTTGAAAAAGTTTCATGTTTATTCTGTCATACCAAAAACAAGTGAAGCACTTCAGGTAATTATTATTTTCATTATATCAATTGTGTGTATTGTTTTTTATATTTTAATAATTCATTTATAAAATTTGTAGCTAGCTTGTACTCAATTAAACACAGATATCATTACTTTAAATGCATCCTGTACTCAATTCAAAATGACTAAAAAACTTTACATGCAAGCTTTAGACAGAGATGTACATTTTGAAATACAGTATACAGATGTGATTAATCCAGAAACACGACAACTTGCAATACATCAGGCACATTTATTTTATATTTATGGAAAAAGCAAAGTAAGTTGTATATTAATGTATTTATCATTTTTTCTTTTTGTGTTTTCAAATCAATGAATTTTTTATTGTTTTTTAGAATGTGATAATATCGAGTGGGGCTAATAAAGTTACGGACATTAGAAATCCTTACGACGTTATCAACTTGTATCCTTTGAAATAATTTCATTAACACACAAATCAAACATTTGAATTAATATTTTTTATATTCAATATTATTCCTTATCTTTACAAAATTATTCTACGAACAAAACAGAGGAATTTTATTGGGATTAAATGAAAATAAATCTAAAGCAGCTATTCTCTACCAAAATAACAATCTACTTTTAAGAGCAGGCAAGTAAATTTTTATATATGATATAATATATTCCAAAAAAATTGATTTCTAACATATACAATTATATTTTAATGATTTTATGAATAAAAACTTTTCAGAAAGACGACGTTTCGGTAAAGTTTTTGCAATAAAAGTAGAAGAAGAGTTAAAAGAAGATAATAGTACCGAATCAAAAAAAAGAAAGCTCGATTTGTAAATACAACGAATATTAGTGAATTTATTTTTCTAATATATTTTAAATGACTAATATGTATAAAGTATTATTTATTATCAATTTTATAATAAAATATTACAAAAGAACTTATATATTTACAGTCGGTTAGTATGCATGCAATATGAATGCACAAAGGACCACCAGTTGGCGATAGTAAGCATCTAACACGATGACAGTACAATACTATCAAAGAATACTATATTCGTATACCATTCTTTGATGATATTGTACCGTTATCGTGTTCAGTATCTACTACCGCCTACTGGTGGTCCCGGTAGTAACTAAGATGAATCTGGTTAGATAAAAGTGTATTTGTAATTTCTATTTACTTCTGTATTCTTTGACTTGACAGAAGATGACTCTTTGACAGCACCGACTGGTACGCAAGTAATCATAGCAGCATTTGTGGAATATCAATCAGTATTATTAAGAGGTTCTACCAAAGTTCGTGTTATAGAGATCCATTTGATGATTGAGCTTATTAACGTGATCACATAGTTTGAAAAGATTGAAAAGTATAAGATAACCTTGAGAAAAATTTAGACGAATTTATAACTAAAAATGGTTTTAGAAGAATATAAAGATATTGTTGGAACATGTGCTGCAATTACAACGATAGGACACATGTTGTCAGGAACGTGAGTATTTAATGTAATACCTATATCAAAAAAAAAAAAAAGTAGAAACTTAAACGTAATATATATTGATTGAAAAGAATAGAATGAAACGACACTTGAGAAATAAACACGTGACGATTACACATCAAATGATGATAATTATTATATATTGAATCTAAAAAGAAATGAAATAATTAATTAATTAAATAAATAAATAAATAAGTATTTTTTTCTTTTAGATTTGTATGCAAAGACATTTACAAAAAGGGAACCTCAAAGGGTTTTGATCCTATGCCCTTTTTGGGTGGTATAGGAATGTAAGTATCAAGTTTTATGTGTATTTGTTCAATATGTTAACAATTCAATAAATTAATTAATTAATTGTATGCTTGTATAATGAAATTATGTACCGGGTGAGATAAAAGTCACATTCCTTAAAACAACATTTTTTCTCGGTTAAGTGACTTTTATCTAACATTGTACTTAAATTATTAATTCATGTTTGCAATATTAAAATAACAATAAGTGAGAGTAATATATTAATGATGACAACTTTGTGCAGGACAATATTAATGCTGCGTTATGCTTTGATGCTTGGTGATCTTGTCATGGTTAAAGTTAATGTTTTCGGATTTGTAACAAATGTAATATATATGGCTGTGTATTACTATTATTCTCCACATACGGTAAGATTTTACATTTTATTAGGAGTGCTTCTTCACGCGTTGCTGTAGCTCACAATCAGTCCGATACACACGTCTTTAAGTCAATTGTGATTATAAATTGAGATATAAACTATCCTATATTTCAAGTTGAATAAAATTGCACACAGTGTGTAAAATTTGATTAAAATTGGTTCAGTAGTTTAGGAGTCCATTGCGGACAAACAACATGACACGTAATTTATATATATTAAGATAAGATTAACATAATCTCTGCCAAGCTGCATTTGATTAACAGTAAGGGTGCCATTACTATTTGTCAAGTGTTCTTAAAATGATACACCCTATAATCCTATGACAAATTAATATATTTAACGATGATAAATTTCAATATAAATATTGAAGTAATTAAAAAATTAGTGCACAGGCCCCCTTTTCACTTGTGGTTCATAATAAAAGATTGATTACAATTGTACTGACATATTAAAGCAATTATGTAATCATGCGACCATTTTTCAATCAATGGAATACCTTGTCCGGATATGTTTCATTATATCCTATAATAGCAAATCCGACATTTGCTATTTTCTCTTATCTATAAATGTAGGATTAGATTTATTAAAAATAGATAATTATGATGACTGTTCTTATCATTTGTAATTAATTTTTTCAGAGAGATACGCTTATGTTAATAAGTAAAGCAGTAGGTTTGATAGCAGTGTTCTTAACTTATGCTCAAATGGAACATCCTGACAAAGTAGAATACAGATTTGGTATAATCGTAACTATTTTACTTTATCTTTTAATAGCATCACCACTTATACATCTTGTAAGTATAATACTTCAAAATTATATATTATCATTTGTAATATTAAATATATATATTAATATTGTTTGTATATTTACAGAAAAATATTATAAAGACCAAAGATACGTCGATTCTTCCATTCCCGCTTATTGTTATGGGTACTGCAGTATCGTTCCAATGGTTGTTGTACGGCATTATTATAAATAATATTTTTGTGATAGTAAGTATATTTATTAATATTTATAAATATGATATAGATTTTGATTTCAGATTGAACAAAGATAAACAAAATTTAATCGAATGATTAATAGTTTCAGAACTCTGTCGGTTTTCTTCTATCGGTTATTCAATTGTCATTGTTTGTTATTTTTCCATCTAAATCTTCGAAAACTTCAATGCCAGAGAAGAAAAAGGATTAAAAGTATTATCAGAATAGTTTTTTAATTGACATAACAAATTATATTATATTACTTAATAAATACGTATAATAGGTATATTAAAGTTAACAATATTGAACGTGTATTTGAAACACGTGATAATCCGTGAAATGGAAAATTCACGAATACATTATACAAATCAAGATCAGGATTCATTAATTACACGTTACTTAACACGTGCAATAAGAAAAAAAAAAAAACTTCTAATAATCATTTGATAACGTAGTTCTAATCGATTTTCAAATCTTTTGTTAACTTCATTTTGAAATTTGCAACCAAATGTTGGTAATGTAGTTTCCTGTTGTTTTAAATTGTAGTTAAGTGTCGGTAAAGTAGTTCCATTCCATTTTCAAGTTTTTTTTTAATAGACAATAAGTAAAATTTGAATAATAAAAAATAATAATAATAATAATAATAATTAAATCATTTTTAAAATTGTATATGTTACTAATGAAACATTGATTGCAAAAATATTTTGTTATATAAAAACTATAATAGGAAATTGACGCACAATTACATTGGACTTCCGTACAACACATACACACAAAATATATAAATTTATATTATATAATAAATTGAATATAATATTTTAGTAGTCCGATATATAATCTTTATTTTTATATTTGCAATTGAAATGAAATTTTGAGAATTATTCATTATTCGCATGAATAATTAAAACGAAAAAATACATATTGTATATAACTGATACCTATTTTAATGAAACCTTAACAATTTTTAATGCCTTGGAGCTTAAATAAATATTATATTTCAATATTATTAAGATTAATAATTAAAACGTATAAATAAAATGAAAATAAAATATTTTCTATAAAAATTAT